AATTTAAAAAAAAAAAAAAGAAAGAAGAAATTCATTTACCTTGCGACACCCTGTGCGTTGCTAGTGGTAACCCTGACGATAGCGCTCCTGCCACCCGTCCCATGAAGGTTGAGGTTCTGTACGTCAAGCATAGAACTCCCGCTCGACGAATGACTGGAGTTGGAATGACCTTGACCCGAACCCGGACTCGATGGTGGTGTCAGGATTTGACCTTCGCTTTCGCATCCGCTGTCCTCTTCCTCCTCGATTTCCTGGTGCCGGTAACGTAATTCATTACGCAACAGGATTACGATAACGGAGGGAAGGGAGAGCTTCTGATTAAAGTGCAAGCAACTAGTTAAAACGATATCGAACATCGATACCAACGTGGCTCCACACGAATCGATCAATGCCAAATGACCCCGTAAACGGATTACATACAATCCAACGTACATAAGCGCGTGGCATGTGTGTACACGTGTGCATGAATCACACAAGGTACACAGGATTTACGCGACTCACGGTGGAAAATGGAAAGAATCGTAATTTGTATATAACACTGGTGTTTGATAGTAATTGAAATTTGACGGGCATTGTACGCTGCTAAACGACATAGCTGTCTGAAAAAGGGTGGGGTAGAACCATAAACGCAGGTGTTCTTGTCGCGACATGTATTCCACTCCCAATAATTAATTTTGAACATTACTTTCATGGAAATGCGAATTTAATCATTTGATTCGAGTTTTGATTTTGAAACTTATTGAAAGATCATTATATTGATATTTAATGGTATATTAGAAATATTTACACTTTAATCTCTATAATTTTTAATAAATATAGTTGTGTATTATTTTATGTTTATTTTATCATTTTTATGATTTTATATTCTTCTCTAATTAAAACTTTCTCTCTCCTTTTTCGTTTAATATTTATCATTTTATTTATCCTCTTTTTTAAAGATAAATATAAGATAAATTAAATAATTTCTAAATTTCTATGAAATTCATATAAGCTTTCTTTATAAAATTTTATTTAAAAATTAAAAAATATTTGAATTTCCTGAAATATTGTAACATATTTTAGAAAATAAAAAATGCATAATTTTTATTTTAGAATATTTTAACTAAACAATATCGATGTATTTTATATATTTTAAATTTTTTAATTTTTGAAATATGAAAACTAATTTACATCTTCTATTAATGCTATTTCTGAAATTAATTTATTTTAATTTTCTTTTGATATAGAAAACCAATGTATTATTAATTATATATTTTTTAAAGGCAATTTCTTTTTATATTATATTTTGTTAAATTAGACCATTCAAAATATTTAATAATAATTAAGAAATTTTTATATATATCATAGAAAAAATTTAAATCGAATTTTTCGAACAATTTAGATTTTATCCAAATAAAATCTGAAATAATACACAAATATGTAGAATGGTTCATATTATTATTACAATTTTCATGGCCGTTATCCATAACAAAAAATATTCCTATAAATTTCTATTAAATTGAATGGTTTCAGGAAGAACATATTTTAATGTTACTAGTTTTTTTATCGGAGAATGCATAGAAGATATTAATACTTTTTTTAATGAGATTATCTTTTTATTGCATCAGTTGATACAATTTAATTCTCTAAAATTTTCTAAAAAAAATATTTATCTTATGTTTAAAAATCATTAGTTTAGAAGATATTTATTTTATTATAACTTAAAATTTATAAAATATACCATATGAAAGATAAAAAATATTCTACATATTTTGTTTATTTTTCATATGATAAATTTTACAAATTAATTTAAATTAAAATATCTTTTAAATTAATGATTTTTTGACAGAAATAATTTCTTTTTAAAAATATCAACTTATATCAACTAAAACAAATAAAAATATTCTATAATCCTATTTAAAAAACATTAATAATTCATATATTTTTTTATATATTCATCTAAAAAAAATACATCAGATTATTGCATAACATCAGAATGTGTCTTTCTTGAAACCTATCATTGAAAAATATAAAATTTGCTATTAATAATAATAATAACATAAAATAAAAACATCTGATGAATCATCATGTACAGTAAAAATTATGTATATTGAAGGAAAGACATCATTAATACATATAAAATAAAAAACTCTAGTATAAATGAAAAAAAAATATATAAATTCGTTTAAAGGAAAAAATGAGGAGCAAAAGATTCGAAAGACATGCAAATCCGACTAGGACGCACCTCGTGCTCCTCGTCCTCTTCGAGATCCTCGCTGGGTTCTTTCTTGAGAATGAACGCCGTGCACGAAACGGAAGGCGAACTATCCCAAGAACACGCCGAACTCGATGACGACATCGATAAGGAATCGAGGTGCCGGTCCAGAAGATCCCTATCACGGCCATTGTGGTTGTGATCACCAGGACTGAACTTAATATCGTCCAAGCAGAGTGTTTCTCTGTCTTCCGACGACGTCGTCACCTATATCGCACGATCACCAGCGAAAAAAGAAAGAACTTTGACACGTGGTTCCAGACACGTTTGAAAGTGAATGGAACTCAAAAAGCGACCTCGAAAAGTTTTTTTATTAAATGTAGATATTCACCTCCATTTTGATTGGTGATTCGAATTGTGCGTTGGCGGTGCCAGTGGTCGCTGTCCACGAAATAGGAGGCCTGAAGAGATTCCAGGGTGCTGTATCTAACTCTGTGGGCAACTTTTTGTACGACTGTAGTTTCGGTTCGTCCTTCAGGTACCTCTCCATCTCGTAGCATGTCTGAAATAAAAAAAAAAAAAACAAAATTAATTTAAAATTTTTAAAAGTTTAGTTTAATTTTTTAATTATAAAATCAATTTTGTACAAAAATTTTAATTTTAATTATTTAATCATTAATAGTAATAAATGAATAATATTTTATTTAAAAATGTTTTTCAATATTTTAAAAATCTATTAAATATAATCGTAAATAATTTCAAATGATTTTATCTTAAAATTTTATGAATCAGATTTTAATGATATTAATGATTTTATATCTTACATATTGATTTTATTAATAAGTGTTTGAATGATTTCATTAACAATTTCAATATATATCATTATATATAAACTATTCATAAGATTATTTATAATATAAGATTATTATTTATATTTATGTTTTAGATTAAATAAAATTATAATGAATAAAAATAACATTTTCTTTGAAGAAATATGATTATTATATTATAAGAGATTTATATTGATTTATATATATATTTAATGTATAATAATAAATGCATAATTATATAGTAAATGTAATTATATATGTAATTTAATATTTAATTAATATATAATATATTTTTAATGTATATTTAATGTATAATACGTAGTTTATATATATATATATATATATATATATATTTTTTATATACACATATAATGAAAAATTAAAAAATTGTATAGAATTATTTAGATTAATTTTCTGACATTTGTAACAATAGATAACGATAGAAGTTTTTCAACTTTTTTTCATATCGTTTTATAAATATATATTATCGATATCAAAAAATTAATTTATGTAATTGTATATAATTTTTTAATTTTTCAGTTTGTATCCAGTAAGAGTATTTTAAAAATATTTAATTATTATTCTTCAAAATCATCAATATTATTATTATATGATAATCAGTGAATAATAAATTTGGATAAGAATTCATCGTATGACGGAATGCAATGAGGAGAAGGGAATTTGACAAACGTTGCGGTGTGAAATCGCGGAAGGCGTGGAGCGAACTATCTTTCAAGCGTCGTCTACGTATCAGATGTCTGCGAAACCTTTCGATCCGTTCGCGAGGTAAACACCTGCGGCGATACGAGAACTTCTCGAGACAGCAGCAAAATTATCTGCAACAGCCAAGCGACCGTATACGCGAAAACACATCCACGCACCGCGTCATGTCGTTCGACATAGCTACTCGTGAGTTACCGAACTTCCTTATCCCTCTTCCTCTTTTACTTTCAGCCCTGTAGGCCATGCCAATCTGCTGCAATTCCTTAGAGATGAAGTGCAAAGTTGTGCCATACTTTGGTCTACATGAGGAATTAATTATATGTAAACTATGTTTCGCAATAAAATTATATCGCCACTGGCTCGCTATTCTTTCCGAATCTTTTGTCCTTTTTATTGTCCAATTATTTTTGTGGAATCATTGTCGTGGAATCGGTGCCTTGATATATTCTTTATTATTAGATTCATTATGTTCATTTCAAATTTTTTTCATGTTTATTTATTTTCTTAACTAGATGAACTATTTTATGCAAGCAAAAATTCATAATTATTGTGAATATATAATGATGGAAAGTATTTTGCTTCTGTATTAGATATTCTAAATCAATTTTTCAGCTCTGCATTATATTTTTCTAATAAATACTTTAATAAAAGATTAAAAAATTTCTCAAATAACAACTAAAATATTAAAAAATGAAATTTCACTTTCATTTAAATATGGTAAAAAATTTTATGAAACGTTAATAATTAAATTACATAAAAAAATCAATATCAAAGTTTATTAATTTAAATATTAAATTTCATTGAATAATCTATTTTGTAGAAAATGAATGAATTGTATGAATGAATGAAATGAATGAATAAATAAATCAATTTTCTATATGAATTTCTAATCTCTGTAACTTGCTACATATTATCCATTGAATTATCGAAACTTGAGATTCTCAGAAGTCGATGTAAATTCCTGGAAAGAAAAAGATGCAACGAGAACAAAATGTTCACCCTCTCCTGTCTCTTTGTTAGCACTATCAGTCGGTTCTAAAGTAGCCTTATAGAAAAGAGGAATTATTGCATGGCGGCGGCGGAGATAAGTGGTTTCGTTCGTGAAACCGGCAAACAAAATCGTTCCCGGTAACCGTTAGCGGTGATAATAAATTGGCAGAGAATGCCCAAAGGAAGACACTTACTGATACATGGTTACCAGTTATCACGGCAAAGCCTGTGGCAAGTAAGGAGAATAAAATGTCTCAGTTCGACTCAACCGCATAATTTACTGCGACTAGAAGATCGTGTCGCCAATAATTAATATCCCGTGCTTCGATAATATCTTTGAAGATTCATAAAGACGAAATACCAAATCAATACCATTTTCTTGATATCGTTGAGGAATTTCAAGTTAAGATTTGGAGGTACGATGAATAATTCCAATCTGCGAACAGCCACATTGAATATGAATGGTAATAAGAATTCGGTTTAAAAATCAAGAAAATTAAAATCTTTGTGTTTTACAAGAAACATTTATTTTGAACGTTGATAAAATTCATTTATTATTGTGGTCTATTTTGAATAGCTTTCATTTCGAGTATTATGATATATCTTCTTTTTGGAAGAATAATAACGCTATTATTTAAATTTCTCGCCGTTGTACTGCCGCATAAATCATCTAATATGAAAAATCTTTAGAATATATTAAACAGAAAGAAAGAAATTTAAAGAAAGGAATTTATTAAAGTATATATAGGATATGAAAAGGATAGATATATATAGAGTGTGAATGTAATAATTAAAATTTGAGAAAAGATCATATATTTGAAATAGATTATCAATGTGGAGGAAAATTTTAATAATGCATAATATCACCAAAATTTTCATTGAATGCCGTGCAGCTGCACAGAAAGCTAATTACTTATAAAGCAAAAACTATAAAAGAATAGAATAAGATATAATGATTGTTTATATTGGAAAAATTTATTAAAGAAATTATTTTTAATAGTTTCAAAAGATTTCTAAAAAATATAAGAAATAATAATGGATAATTTATAAGATAAAATTCTGATTAAAAATTATAGATACAGTTGATATTAATATAATAGATCAAAATCAGATCAAAAAATATATCATAGTACATAAAAATTGTAAATTATCGACTCATCTTAAACTATTTATCAGTCATTAATATGCCAATAATATTTTCACTATAAAATTTTTGTTTTTATATTGTTTGTTAAGCTGTATATATGAAAAGTATGAAAATTATATACTAATTCTATTAAAAGATATTAAAAGAAAGATACTTAATAATAATATTATTTTTTTTATTTTTAAAATACTTTTTATTAAATTAAATATTTTAAGAAAATAGGATGTAGTATTGTATTCTTCTTTCATTAAATATTGTAATTGAGAAATGAGAAATTTGTCGATCGCAGAATTAAAAAAAAACATAAAAATCCAATCAATTAATTCCAGCAAAGTTTTCAAATAATTCGATTATAAGTACAAAAGGTAATTCATGATAATAAAAAAAAACCCTTTCATTTAAATAAAAATTAATGGAAAGATATATCTTTAGAAAACAATAATAAATCTTTATTTTTTATTTTTAACATTATATATTTATTTTTCTATATAATCATCATTTACTGCAATACATTTTCGTTAATGCTATATTAATTTTTATATTTATATCCGTTCATAAAAAAGTCTTAAAACGATTTCTTGAGGACAAATTTTACTTTGTCATCACATGAAATAATATTTTCTTTTCAAGCGTTTCTTTACTTTCGAAAGGTGAAAATTATTAGATATCAAATTTGGATTATGATGAATGTTAAAAAAAATTAATTTTTTTATGGACGAATTACAAAAATTAGTCCGTATAATTCATTATCACATGTTTCAATAAATCATAAATTCACTTTTCGCATAACTCATATATTACAACGTGCTTCGATTACAGAAGAATTATCAACTTTCTCCTTCCATCAATTTCGGTCATTCGAAATGCCCGACACGTACGAACGGATGAAATATCCCAATGGTGCGCGAAAATCCGGAAATTCGATTAATCGTTGAACAACGTCCATTACCGGTTTTTCTTCCTTCCACAGTGAGGTACCATAGGAAATTCAGAAATTGCAGTCACGATACGCGGGAAAGGTCGACGGTTAGTAATTATCCGCGCAACACCGATCACTATGATACCGGGGATTTCCCGATCATTGTAACGCTAATTAAAGCGGAGAGACAGCACGCGGGTCGCGGTCTGCGCAACATCGTCGTTGCATTTTGATAGCCGACAGTATAACAATCGTTCGATGAATCTGCATATATACTATACCGAGAACCATGGTTATAAATTGTTTCAACGGTGCGCATTGATGAGCGGAGGAATGTTTGCGTTCCTATGTTGTAAATATAATGAGGCCTGCATTGTAAAATTTGACACGCGGAACCGATGAATTACAAATAGTGGACCCGTAACAATTACCGGACGCCTGAAGCTTGATCTCGATGCATTCGATGGAATTAACTTGATGCATAACGTTCGATGAAATTAGCATCGAATCGATGTTTGTTGATTCCAAGAAACTTGTGTTGATTAATTGGAGCAAGTTTTCGTATAAATAAGGAAATTGAAAACACAATTAATTGTAATAG